ACCTAGAGTGTCAGTTCATGTGTACTTGGGTACAGTTCTGAGTGTATCCCCACATGAGGGAGAATGCAGTATTTGGTATGAAAATAGGTTGTTACAACTGCTGAAGGAGCTCTACCTCAACACCTGCATTGAAATTTTCTCTCAAAACCTTTAGTGACTGTTGCCATGACTCCTGAATACACTTTCCAAGAAGGAATGGAGGATGATATGCCAATACATGCTTTGTAGGAAAGAGAGATACAGGCACAGAAAGAGCACAAAGTTATAGTTAGGCAAACAGTTCATTAAATATAGTTATTCTGCTAAATAGTATTTTTCTCTGAAATTTACTGGAAACAAGGACAGGGAAAGAAATCAAAGTTCATACTTGCAACCAGCCAGATAGCCCCAGGATTCATTTGACCTGCTTTCACAAATCTATCTCTCAAAAATAGGGAGGAAAAAACCCAACAACATAACTTTTCTATAGGGTGCCCTGCTGCATTTTGCTGTCTGTGCACCAGTGATATCTGGTTGCAGAAAACAGTCTGCTCTGAGGTGAGGAAAAACCTCAATGTCTGCATTTTCTTTTGGTCTGATACAGTGTTGGGTCTAACAGAAAGATCTCCACACTGGCTTTCACATCTTGCATTAGAAAATATTACTTTTAACTGTGGCGGATTGACTCTTGTCTGCTCAAAGCACAATAAAGCTTCATGCTCACATCTAAGCACAATAAGACACAGAATAAGAAAGGCACTGGAATGTGCAGGTACTCTAGAGGAGGGCAGTACCACACTGCTTTGCAGCTGCAACTGCCAGCTCCAAACCATGCACTGTCTGTCACACTCAGTGTCCTACTTCTCACCCAGACATCTTTGTGGTCCCACTCAGCACAATTTTATGGGTCTCAGTCCTTACTTCAGTGATTATTCAGGATTGGTACACAACCCATTCATGTGACATAATGCCTGTGCAGCACATCCTCTGTATAGAAACAGGAACCTGGGGCCTTCCCAGTGCAGGGGAAGGGAAGGCAGAAGGAGAGGTCTCACCTGACCTCAGATACTGATCACCTCTGCAACTGAGGACATTGTGCATGCAGCTGCTTTCCCTGGGCACATGTGCAGTCATACAAATGCACCTATGAATGTACACTGTTGTGTACAGACAAATGACAAAGTTGTAGGGGGCACAGATCCACTCTCTATCCATTAAGGGCAAAACATAATATTTTATGTTAAAATGAAGCATGTCTTTTAAAAATGCATTCATTCTATATGGACTTTCAGTTTGGTTAGATGAAATGGAGAACAATTATGATAGCTTTGCCTAAAAACGATAATGAGAATGAAATTGAACAAGTGAATGTAGTTTAACTGTAAAGTTATGAAACGGTGTGCAGGTTTGTGATACAGCACGTATACACACAGGGCAGTGGTTGTTACCTATACTTGAAAATATTATTTCAAAAGTATTTAAAAACTGAGGATGTACAGCTGGCCACCTGCACAGATTGTTTTCTCATTTTCACAGAACTGATCCCAACTCCAAGCTTAGTGACAGCCACAGAAGTAAGCTGAAAACAGAGTGCTCTGGTGGGGCACACATTTCTTAGGGCAGTAATGGAGGTACACACAGCTTGCTCACAGAAAGACCACTGCTCCCTCAGGAGATCTCAGCAGGAGC